CCTCAAGAGTCGGTATAGGTAAGACCTCTGATATATCAAAGTGATCATAAGAGGTAAAGTAAGGTCGAGACTCAAAAAATGTGAAATCGACTGACATAATGTACCTATGAAGATCAAGTGAGTAGCAACGATATCCCTTTTGAACTCGAGAATAGCCAAGGAAGACACACTTGAGAGCACGGGGAGCTAACTTATTTTTTCAGGGAGCTAAGTTATGAACGAAACATGTGCTCCCAAACACACGAGGGGGAAGAGAGTATAAGGGTGACTGAGAAAACAATAGTGAATAAGGAATCTGACTATGGATGGAAGATGAAGGCATCCGATTAATCAGATAACAAGCGGTGAGAACTGCATCACCCTAAAAACGCAGCGGAACATAAGACTCAATTAGAACTGTGCGAGCAGTCACAATGAGGTGTCTATTCTTTCTCTCTGCTATCCCATTCTACTGAAGGGTATACGGACAAGATGTCTGATGAATAATTCCTTGAGAAGTCATAAACTGTTGAAATTGAGAGAATAAGTATTTTAAGGCATTATCACTACGAAAGACGCAAACAGAAATGCCAAACTAATTTTTTATTTCAGCACAAAAACTCTGGAATATAGAAAATAACTCACAACGATCTTTCATTAAGAAAATCCAAGTACATCTTGAGTAATCATCAATGAAACTAACAAAATAACAAAATAACAAAATCCTAAGGTTAAATTGACCCTACTAGGACCCCATATATCAGAATGAACTAAAGAAAAAACAGACTCTACACGACTTTCAACATTACGCGAAAAGGTGGCTCGGGTATATTTTCCACGTTGACACGACTCACAATCTAATGTAGACATACTAGATAAAATAAGCACCATCTTTTGAAGCTTGGATAAACTTGGATGTCATAAATGTCTGTGAATTAGGTCTGGAGGATCTGTAACTGGACATGTTGTAGAAGGATTGAGTGAGTCAAGGTAGTAAAGGCCTTGTTTTTCACGCCCTGTGCGAATCGTCTGTCTCGTACTGCGGTCATGCATAACAAAAGAATCATCAATAATATATATACCACACAGTGTTATCAAAGGCGCGCTTAAGCCTTAAAGCGAGGCTCAAAACAGGTTGAGTGCTTCGCCTCGCTTAGCGAGCGCTTTAGTATTGTCATCAAGGCTTTAAGACATACTTTTCCTTGCCAATGAGTGTAATCCTGAAGAGTCGACACGAATCAATTGATATTTCACTTTATCGTAAATTTTTTTTAATTTCTTTGTCCATAATTTGGTATTCATGCTTATAGATATTAGTCTTGGACTACACATACATATTTGTAGTTTTTCTCAATTGCGCCTTTCTTAATTAAAGCTCACGCTTTATTTGCTCTTTGCGCATAAATCCCCAATAGACCTTAGAGCTTTTTTTGTGTTTTTCGTCTTTGATAACACTGATACCACAATGGAGGGCACGAGTCAACCGACCAACAAATGCAAGATTAAAATGACTACCAGGGACATAAAGAACAGAATCTAAAGTGACAGAGGATAAGGGATTAGCCTGTCCAACTCCTTTTGCTTTTGTTTGGACTCCATTGGCTAAAGTAACATTGGGAAGAGACTGTGAATAAACAATATTTGACAAAAGTGACTTATTACTAGAAATATGATCAGAGGCGCCTGAGTCCATGACCCATGGTCCAAGAGTAGTAGACTGGGAAACACAAGCAAAGAAATTACCAGCAACAGAAGTATCAACCTGAGCAACAGAGGCTACTTGTGGAGGTGTTTACTTACTTGCTCGATACTGAAGGAACTCATTATATTCCCCTTCAGATAAAGAAAACCTCTAGTTACTTGCAGTCTCTGTTTGAGCAACATGAGCATTTTAGGTGGTCGACCATGCAAAGAGTAACACACCCCATGGGTATGTCCAAGCCTATTGTCGAGACCTTCCAAAACGACCTCCTCCTCGTCTATTATCTATAGTCTGAGATACCCGATTATCCAGTGTCTGGGACGCGAGAACAGAGGAGTTAGTTGTCTATGATGATCACTATGTGACTAGGCGCTGCAACAAGGCGAGTAATCGAGTTCATCAAGTGTAGACAGTCGGACTAGCCAAAATCTGGTCACACACTGAATCAAGGTCATTAAGAAGTCCAGCGAGTGTAAGAACTAGAAATATCTTTTGTCGTTACTCTTGTTGCTTTTCAACACTAGTAGAAACTGGCATCAACTTCTCAAATTCTTCCATGACTGCTTGTACTTGTCCAAAAGTAAGTAGGCATATCCATTTCCTGATTCTTCAAATTTGTCATCCGTTATATCACATTATAGAACCGAGATATGTCATTAGCGTATAAAGTATAAGCCTTTTCCAAACTAAATGACATGTTTGGAATAGACGAAACAAAGGCATCAACTTGGAATCAATAGATCGCCACAAGATACTACATAATAGAGTATCGATCTTTTCCCACTGTGCTTTGGCCTTTTCATCTCCCTCACTAACCTTTTTGGTTAAGTGATCTTGAACACTTTGACCTTTACACCACAACTCCACAGACGACGCCCAAGATAAATAATTTAAATTCCCAAGTAGGGGTTCAAAAGTAATCATTAAGGCTGAATTTCCAACTCCACTGTTTTCGGAACCAAAAGCATCTAAATTGAGAGACATTATTGGATTGGAGTGACTTCTAGCAAATTATCACCAAATAACCGAATGAATCAATTGTAAATTGCTGAAAGGAACACTGTAGCTGCCGGAAAAACAAGTGTAGTCGCCGGAAAAAACTCAAAGTGATCAGAATAAAACGAAAACAATATGGGTGGGGTCGGAATTAGTAGACGAAGCAACTATCCTGAAGGAACTTTTTCAAAAAATGGCAGGAAGGGGTCGTACTCGCCGGCGCATGAACTCACGCGCTTGCCGGAACCCTAGCTTTTGTCGGCGCGTGAGGCGGTAGCTGCCGGAGAGGTTGATTGGGGTTTGGTCGCCGAACGACGACGGATATTGTGGTAGTGTTGGATTTTGTACAACATTGACGGGGAGAGAGATGACGAAAGACAACAATGAAAAGTCACCTTAAAATTGAGGCACGGTGACTCTGGCTGTATTCTGGCTCAAGGATGTGTCTCACCACCCCTGCTCTGCCAGGACAGGGGGAGCCGCTTAGTGATCCTACAAGATATAGGCGACTAGTTGGTAAATTAAATTACCTCACAGTGATTAGATCGGACATTTCCTTTCATGTGAGTGTTGTAAGTTAGTTTATGGATTCTCCCTGTGATAGTCATTAGGATGCAATCGTCGGCATTCTTCGGAATGTAAAGTCAGATCTAGGCAAAGGGTTATTGTTTGAGGATCGAGGCCATGAGCAGATCGTTGGTTACTCAAATGTTGATTGGGCAGGATCACCTTCTGATAGACGTTCTACGTCTAGATGTTGTATTTTGGTAGGAGGTAATTTGGTGCCTTGGATGAGCAAGAAACAAAATGTGGTTGCTCGGTCTAGTGCAGAAGCAGAATATCGAGCAATGGCTATGGCAACATGTGAACTAGTTTGGATCAAACAATTGCTCAAGGAGTTGAAATTTGGTGAAATCAGTCAGATGGAACTTGTGTGTGATAATCAAGTTGCCCTTTATATTGCGTCAAATTCAGTGTTCCATGAGAGAACTAAACACATTGAGATTGATTGTCACTTCGTTTTAGAAAAGATACTCTCATGAGACATTGTTACAAATTTGTGAAGTCGAATGATCAGCTTGCAAATATTTTCACCAAGTCCCTCACGATCCTCGTATTAGTTACATATATAACAAGCTCGTACATATGATTTGTATGCACCGGCTTGAAGGAGAGTGTTAAATAGTTATGTGTAAATAATCCTAGTTCCATATATAGTAGGAGTAGAACATGTATTATATATAGGGCTCATTGTATCATTGTTAAAAAATTAATAGAATAATTTTCCCTTGTATTATTTCTCACACTTATAAGCTATTATGGCCTCCTACTTCTAAGGTCCATCCAGTTTTCCACATTTCATTGTTGAAAAGAAAATTGGCTCTAGGGCAGTCGTCCAATCAGTCTTACCTATGACCAGTGGAGAAGGCCAATTCCTAGTGAAGCCTGTTGCAATATTGCAAAGACAACTTGTTCAAAAAGGAAATGTGGTTGCTGTTAAGGTGCTTATCAGTCTTACCTATGACCATGAGTTTATCAAGTCCAATTTCCAGAGTTTGATACTAATCCTTGAGGACAAGGATTATATGAAGGAGAAGTGTATGTCATGACCTGAGAAATGCAGCAATTAACGAAATGTCGCTAGGGGAGTTAGAAGCTGGGAGGGAAGTACAGGAATAACTAACGCTAAATCGACGGCCGAGATTAAATTTCACTTAATGAGCTTCAAAGGCTCAGAAGCTGCCAGCTGGACGAGTTTGTTGTAAAGCTCAACAAACTAGTCGAGCAGAGTATCACTGAACCAACGGGTATTTGCCCAATTCTCTCTCTTTCTTGTCAAATCTCATCTCCTTCTTTCTCTTCTAATCCTTTCTCTTCTTCTCTTCTACAGATCCGCAGCTCGCTATGGAATCTCGATTAGCTTAGTTTCCATTTTTCTTACTTTTCCATCCAGTTATTTAGTTTGTAATCGCAACTGTTTCATTTCAATACAACAGAGAAGATTGTCCCAAAACTTGATTGACTTCTTCATTAACTGAGTGAGTTCCTGACAGAACACCTCAGTTGAAAGCTTAAGGTGTTAGGGAGGAAAATTTTGTATTATTTATTTAGGTCTACCAACAAAATTCACTGAATATAGGAACTTCCAACAAAATTCACTGAATATAGGAACTTACAAGGACCACACTGTTTAAACACAAAAGCAATTTTAAATTATTTATTGCAAGTTCACATACATGTAAGGGGTAATTGCAGGCTAAGCTGAAGATTTAGTTGTGCATACCCATATACCCTTATTGGATTTGCACTTGCAGAGACTTACCTGATTAGTTTTGAATTCATTTCTCTGCATTCTTTTAACTCTCCTGCAGTGAATCTTTCCTGCATTTGGGATGCAGTTCACACATGTCAGATGATACACAACAGTCACCTTATCACTAATCCGATCTTCTTCTCTTGAAGTAGGTACAGGCTTCCTAGGATACCGTGGCTAATTCCAAAAACTTGACCCAGAGTAAATTTCACGAAAAAGAACAGATTTATTGAAAGAAAAAACAAAAAAAAGTCATCAGAGTATATTTGACCTGTTCACATAACTCTGAAATTTCAGCAACCAGTGTTCCAGTCTTCCTGTTCCTGTAGAAGTTTTTAAACCTAAAAAGACAGATGCAAGATTAAATTACCATAGAATAGAGAGTGTCCATCTTTGGCAAGTCAAATGTTCATAGTAATTACCATCTGAGCTGCTTAAGGAGGCTAATGTTCTCATGTGCAAGTCGAGTCAATTCTGGATTTTGTTCAGTTCTAGCCCAAAGCAGCCGAATCTCGTCTTTTAAAGCATTATTTTCTTCCAGGATAAAGCTGTCTGCAGAGATTATACCATTTCCAAGTGATTCCAATCGGTCAACTTTTTCCTCTCTAAGTTTCATTATGTATTTACTAAGTTGAACCTCTTCTTCTTGCTGGTGAACCTGCAAAACACTCCTTCACTTTTATTTAACATGACTACTATATGCATAAATATCAATTCACCTAAGGTGCACTTTCTAATAACACAAGGTGCATAAGAGATGTCATAGTTATTCATACCAAATGTTTCATCGCTTCAATTTCAGCCTCTAATCTCCAAACTTCCATCGCAGCCAATTTTTCTCTCCTCACGGCATTGAGCAAAGTTGATTTTAGATAATGTAACTGCCATGGAATTCATGGGACAATATTATACATGGTCTTGATGCTAATACACAAATCACGAAAGGAGTAGAAGATTACTGAGTCACTTCTTCCATGCTGTGGACCACAATCAGTGTGCAGATTCAATTCCTCAGACAGGTAGAAGCTCTCAGGAAACTCACACAAGCTGAATTGATCTAAACATGGGACACTTTCTGGAAAATAATTCTCTGTTCCCTGATGCTTCAGTAGAAAGGACAACTGACCCTGTTCAACAAGTTTTCAAGTATGCTTGAGAGCATTGAATATTTTACACGTTTCATACAACACAATATTATACACCTTTAATAGAGCATGTTACATGCCTTTAGTTGTTGTATTTGCTGCTGCAATGCTGAAACATCACCTGAAGCATCTTCATTTATTTTAGCCTAGCAAAATAAAGGTCAAAACTTAAAAAACTAAAGATTTTTGGTTTCCAAACAAAAGTTAGCATAGCATAGAAAATATAGCTTGGAATTTTACTACAGAATTTTGGTTTTTCCAAACAAAAGTTTGCATATATCTGGAAGTTCATACATTGTTCTGAATAAGTTTTGCACGCTGAGCAAACTTTAGAGTGCTTAGTGTCTCACTGGCAGAACTGCAGAGAATAAAAACTAGTTATTACAACACTACTATTGCATTTTCAAAATCACTACAGAGATTATCCTGTTACCAAATAGATGGGCTGACGGTGGCGATTACTGCTGTTTTCGAGTTCCCACCCAGAGAATCCTACATCCAGGGAGGAAGAAAAGATAGCCTTCTCTTATTGAGAAATTCAATAATTTAACAGTAGTATTTTGTATGCCTAATAGTCATGAGATAGTTCTCACCTGAAGGAGAAAAGTTAGCCTAGAGTCCCTGTATGGAATGTGTCTATGTTTGCCATGTGCCAAATCCACCAAGGACATGATGACAAGTCTGCATGCACAGACAAGATTTAGAACAAAACTTAGCAAAGTAGGACAGCTTAAGGCGGCTTGAAGATGACTTCAAAATATAGTAGAAAAGAGATCAGTAACACAAAGCATAAGAGCATTTTACAACAGAGGATAATGAGACTCTGCAGTCTAAAATGTTCCTTTTGAAATTTAAACCAGCTCCTGCAACTTGTTAACTTCTAGCGGTTCAAATAAACTCATATTACTTGCTAAGTTACTCTGTTCACATAGAATTATGCAAAAGATACGAATATATTCATTATCATTTAGAAGATTAAGTATATGCTTTACTTTCTAGTTTTAGGATCATGAGAATGCTCAAACATAGAAACTGCAAATCACATTAATATATAGCAAAAGACCTGCAATCCAATTTAGGCCTCAAAGTTAAAAACAGACTAAACTCTATGAGCAGACAAACTGCCCAGAAAACCACAAGTTATCAGTTATCTATTGTCACTCTGGAGATACCCTCAAAACATAAGATAGTTTACTTTAAAGTCAAGTACGTTATTTCACTTAAAATCATATATGCTCTGTAGTTTGCTGAGTAGTTTGCTGAGTCAAGAAAACGCTACCAACTAAGCATTAAGCAAATCAGTGTGTTATCCATAAATACGTGAAATTTATCTTAACAGAAACTCAAATGAATAATGTCATTGGCTGTTATGATGTCTTTGCTTTGTACCTGTGAGAATGCACGATAGAAAAATCTATTTTTTTAACAATGATACAATGAGCCCTATATATAATACATATTCTACTCCTACTACATATGGGACTAGGACATATTCTACTCCTACTACATATGGGACTAGGATATATTCTACTCCTACTACATATAGGACTAGGATTTTTTATACATAACTATCTAACACTCCCCCTCAAGTTGATGCATACAAATCATATATACCGAGCTTGTTACATATGTAACTAATACGAGGACCAGTGAGGGACTTGGTGAAAATATCTGCAAGCTGATCATTCGACATACAAGGTCACTAGACTCCCACTGAGCAACAAAACCAAGTGGTTGCTGATAACAAAAGTTTGGCCGAAAGGTCGCCGGAAAAATTTGAAAATAGTGAGACTAAACGAATTCCACACTACAAAATAGGTTCTAAAACACCACCAGAAAACGGAAACTTGTTTGGAAATTACTATTCACACCGGGAAATAGGGCTATTGTAAAATACTTAACATACATAAATAATATATTTTTTCCGTGTCATTATTTCTCATAATAGGAACGAGTGTTCGATATAGGGGATAGGATCCATCTGCTCTTCATCTCACAAAAAAAAGATTTTGCATCTTAACTTAATGAAGAGCAAAGTGCATTCTAGGAATAGGTCTTGTCTCTAGTGAGAAAACTAGTGTTTTATATCAATTTAAATATATAGAGGGTCATATAACCAACCGCAGCTAGTTTGAGATTACAGCACAATTGATTGATTGATATATGTACATCTGATGTAGGGCTTATCATAATTCACAGCAAGATGAGAATTTGCTATGAGAATTAGCAATTCAACGAGGATCACTAATTGGACGATGTTTATCTTATTTCATAATGTTTCTTGGATCTTGTGACTCCTCAGAATTCATGAGTGCAATGTGCCACTATTAAGAAACTCAACTGTGCATGCTATGTTAAGTCCACCCCCATAATTCTCACTTCAAATTGATGCCAATTTTGGACAGAAAGCTCATCCACGATTTCAGTCACTCAAAGGCAATCCACAAAGCTTTTTCTTGCAAATACAAGAAATTTGTTTGTACATATATTTTGCTTAATCAATCATTAATGACCCGGTAAAGATTCATAATTGGACTTCCCGCATTATCAAAAGAAAGCTAAAGCATCTTATGATAAATTAAGAATAGTATTATGATGAGCATGAAGAATACATGATCCTGGAGGAGAAAATCAAAGAATGCAAAGTGTCATCCACAGTATTCATCCAGCACTGTTCGGGAGAAATTCAAAAGAATCAAGAAAACAAATAGGCATGGCACAGTAATTTCAGCCCCAATTTACTCAAGAATATCTTAAGATCATCATTACCCAAGAGTTGATAAAGACTTGTTTATATTTGCAGCTTCTTTCAAACGGTCTCCTTCTGCGCCACAGCTTTTCTGTCTAAATAACCGGAAATTGTGTAAGCATGAAAACGCAATTGATTGAGATTATATGCTATTGAAGTCAAAAACTACCTTTCAGAACCAGCTAGATCAACTAGATTTAACCTTCCAAATCTAAAGTGCTTCATAGAGTCTTTCTCCCAGCAACTCTCTATGTTACATGTGAAAACACTGTGAGATCGACTGCTCTCAGTATTCATATGAGTAGCTGCCATTTTTCTATTTGCAGCCCCCTGTGGAAGAAAAGATCATCAAAACAATTTTCTCATGTGGAAAGTGCTTAGAGATGAAGGTTCAGTATTAAGTTTCACCTGTAACAAAATTCTGAGAATGTCATCAACAGAACTAACGCTAACTTCAGTGAGGTTTTCAACGTATACACCTTTCTTCAAGTCTTCTCTGAGCTATCATATATCAGCATATGTAGTGACTGATTCCATATGAATGTGCAACACATCAGCAATTGTCATCAAACAAAATTGAACTTACCAGCAAATTAGTCGATGAAGGCTCAAGGAGGTCCGTTATCTGCTCATTATATATCTCTAAGAAAGAACACTTGCAACTATACTTCAATCTCTCATTCTTTCGATCGTCCTCTTCCTAAAAGGCATTAGAATAAGGAAATAGCGCTTAAAACTTGTCACGCAAAGTAACAGCTAAATCATCTTTTTCATATCTAACCTGTCTAATTCGAGTAAACAAGTACTCNTGTCCTCTTCCTAAAAGGCATTAAAATAAGGAAATAGCACTTAAACTTGCCACGCAAAGTAACAGCTAAATGATCTTTTTCAGATCCAACCTGTCCAATTCGAGTAAACAAGTACTCGAATATACGAGGAGTGATCCCACATTGTTCGCTTAGCTTTCCACCCATTTCGCCTATGTCACCCATCATTGTGTAAGTCTTTCCACTTCCAGTCTGCAAGAATGGAATAAATTCAAAACCTGTAAATCAGTAATTGGCTATTTTGAATTATATCAAGCACCAAGAATTAGCACTGTCCCACACCTGGCCATATGCAAACATGCAGCTATTATAACCGGACATGCAGTTATCCACCATGGGCAACCCTGCAACTTTGAAAAGCTTTTCCTGCTCAAAGCTCAAGAAACAGTTTAATTAACCTTGAGTTATCTCATCCTACTCCACATATGGTCCATTCATCCTTTCATAATGCAAAAGCATACAGATTACAGTATTTCAAACCTGCGATATAGTTTCACACGCAAGATGATCAAAGGTGAATCTGGTTTCAAGATGACCAAGCCAAACCAGTGTCTGTGCAGTCTCTTGCCTTAAGCATCTACCGTATCCTTGTAATACTTTCTCCATGTTATTTAATGGTCTAACACGAATCAATACCTACATGAATAAAGTACTCACTTTCGTTGGTCTTGTTAAGAGAAAACGGACCTGAGCCAAACTCAATCCATCAGCAAGTTCTATGAATGTCCAAGACCATGTATGAGACCATTGAATATACTCTCTATCAATGCGGAACTCTAATAATTCAAATTGAAAAACAAAAAAAAAATGATGTAGTAAGCATAATTGGTGAAGAGAACCTGCACATTGTGATCATTCCAGAAAGAAGGATTCTCCGACAGCTCAAAGTGGACAGAAGGCTCAGAGTTGATAAAAAGAGTTCCTTTTGAAGTTCTAGAAGATAATAAAGTAGTCCCTTTACCTCCAGTATGGAGAGCATGCCTAGCCCCAGAGCGTGTAAACACATTACAAATTCTCCTAACTGGAGTAGTTTGAGCTGAATTGGGTTCGGAATGAGCTTTTCCTCTAACTCCATTTGCATCTCGAACAGCTCGGGTTGTTTCAGATTTAGTGGGATGGAGGTCTTGAGCTAGGGTCAGACGTTGAGATGGGTCGGCGATGGAATTAAGAGGCGTTCGAGTAGGAGGAGGGAAGGGAAATTCCGTATTGTCGAAGTCGTTCTCATTTGATTCGAACTGGGTTCGAGCATCAGCGGATCTGACAGATGAAGAAGAAGCGTCTTTGGACATAGCTGGGAACTTTCAAATGTCAAATTAGACTAGGGTTTTTGTAGGACAATGAAGATGAATGGTTGGGTATCGGAAAATAAGTGCAGTGTGGCAGAAAGAGAGAGCATTCGTCATTCAGAATCAGTGGTGGCCTCGTGGGGTCTGTCAGGTAAAGGCGCAAGCCCGCCCCTTTTCAAATTCAATTATGGATACCGCTTCCACTCTTTTCATTTTATTGTCTCCTTTTCATTTTCATATGATAAAAGTAAAAACTTGTGAATGTAGAATCTACTAAAAGCATTCCAACAACGACTACAATAACATTCCAATGAAATCCCACAAGTGGCATATGAGGAGGATTGTGTGTACGCACCCCTTAACCCTACTCCGGAGGAAAACTGTTAATTTCAATTTCTTTTTATATATTTCAAGTCGAAACAGTCAAAATTTTACTATTGATAAGGGTTACATTGCGGGGCCCTTAAGTAATAAACATGAATATATCTTCTAAGGCAAAGAATTAATGTTAAAGGTTGATTATAGGCTGAATACATCAATGGCCTCGCAAACTTGGCAAAAAAATTCATGTTGGCATGTCATCTTTTCCTAATATCTATCAAACATTTTATGTTTGCCGAAATTGTATCAATTAAAGAGCTTTTCAAATCTCTAAACATTTAAAAAAACATGTCGTCAATCGTTTATGACATGACAAGTGAAATAAATAAGTGAAAGACACATGACTCTCTCTAAAATACCTCTGCCTCATTTTTCTTTTTTCTTTCTTTTTCATTTTTACTTTCTTTTTCTCTCTTCTGTAATTCGGTGTAAAACCTCGTAAATTACCATATGTAATAAGGATTAATTCGTGCTTAAAAGACCAAGTACGGATTAAAGGAACTTAAATCGAAGTATCCGGCTATGCATGGTGCATGGTGCGTAGCCTATAAAAAAAAGCAAAGGAAGAGACCTTCAGCTCTCCTATGCACAGACATGAATAAGCCTCCTACCCATTGAGAGAGCCTCCTACCCATTGAGAGAACCTCCTATGCATGAGAGGAGCCAACCCAAAACCGCCCAAGGCAAGCCACGCACGGAGAAGCGCTCACCTATGCACGTTGGACCACTCTTATGCAAGGCCAACACTACCTACGCACCCCCTCCCCATTGCTCCTACACAAGTCCTTACCACTATTATGCAAGGCCAACACTACCTACGCNACCATAAATACACCCCCAAAGTAAGCATTTATGATGCATTTGTAGGTGATAACATCATTTTTTACTAGATCTAATCTATTTACGGATCAAAGTCCATAGGATTTCGCTCAATTTTAAGAATCTCTACAAGGATCCCAAGCTAGAGTTTTGAACCCAGAAGTAATATTTATATCATGTGTTCAAATGCAAGTATGAGATGGATATTTAGGAAGTATAATAAGTTGAGAATCGTTATTTGAATGAGAGGGGATACAAGTTCTTGATGGGTCTTATGAACTAGGGTTTGTGATGAATAGTAAATAGGTAGAGACAATTTCTAAAATTGGATGATAAATATCTAGTTCCTATTATATTGTGTTGATTAAATTCTTACTAAGTCGATTGGAACACAAGGAAGTAAGCTAACTTTGGGGATCTCAAGTTATGTGGAGTTCAACCCTCTATAAAAAATTTCTCCAAAACTACATGTCTTCTAAATGTAGCTATATGACAAAATGAATTTCAAATTGTTAGTGTATAATTGTGGGTGACAAGTAATTATACAATATCCATATTTGCACTCAAATGTTGTAGTTTCAAGTTCTATGTTTCACATGACAAAATGATTATAAATGCTTCAAGTTTTTAAATGAAAATTAATATGATGATAAAGTTTTTCAAAGAACATGGATGTGATTTTATAGTTTTCAAATGATAAAAGTAAATGAATATACAAATGTTATAAGAAGGATATGTTGGCTACTAAGCCTAAGTTAAGGACTATGATTAAGGGCTAAAGGTGCCAAATAAAATAAAATAATTTGAGAGTCTCATAAATAAATGAGAAGGTATTTGCTAGAGGTACCAAATACCCGAAGTTGCAGGTGTCGGTGTAGTACCGTGGCCATATCATTGGTTTGGATAATTAGATAGTCTCCCTTGGTTGGGATTAATGAAATACTAGCTAACAAATGTCGAACCACATGACACTGTGATGAGATGGCTTAACCGATTGGTCCGAGATCGGACTTCAAACCATACACATTGTGGTTTAATAAATATGTTAGTGACTAGTGCACCTCCTACTAAAGGCTACAATTTTGTTTAAAGCTCAACTTTATAATATTTTATTAAATGAAATTGATAGTGTTTTGAATTAAATATTACTTCTTCATGTTTATCTTTAAATGTTCTGTCCCATTTTATGTGAGGGAGTCAAAGATGCATACGAGTACTTGTTGTTGTGTACTCATATCCCTGTGCTGGGATGCTACATCTCTTTTATGGATGCAAGTCATGATACTTTGTATGACGTGGACCCTTTTCTATGTAGCTCCTCATCTCCTAGTCTTTTGGTGAGTCCCATTTCATGTTCGGGGTATTCTTGTGATGATACAGACATTTATATTCTTTTTTAGGTATAATTGGTGACTTTTTTCACTGGCATTTCATTTATTTATATTGTCATACAAGCTTCATAGACATAATGGGTTACTTTTTGTCATTATTATTGACGTCTCAAATGGCATGTATGAATAACTATTCAATATTTTATTGTTTTACAAGTTTATAAAAGGAAATCACTTTAGAAAAATTTTATTTTTTCTAAATCATGCTTGAGTTATGTGTATCAAGTCATGGCATGTTTGTTCGCTCGATCAAAGTTAAGGCATCGAGTGTTGTGCCTGCCCTCCTATGTTTGGGTATTACAAACTTGGTATCAGAATAATAGCTTTAAAAGTGTCTTTGGATGTTTTGGAGTTGTGTCTAATAGAGTCCTTCTTATCAGTGTATTATTGTTGATACTCAATTTTGCCCTCATATTTCTTAAAGTATTCCATATACTTTTAAAATATTATTTTTGCATTATTATTTAATTTATAGAAATCATATAAGTAGTTCCTATAATTTTTAAAGCTTTTAAAATTGATTTCTTGCATTTTAATTGTTAATATTTACTAATTATTCCTCCAAAATTATTTTGAACGATTTAAATTAATTATTTATATCCATATGTATATTCTATAATATTTTGCTCCATTTTTTATAATTATATTTGCACTTTTATTATTATTTGTAATAATAGCCTATATTCTCGTAGTAATTGCATTTATTATAATATTTATGTCAAAATACCATATTTTATATTTTTATAACTCCGCGTTATTATTTTTTTCTTAAATAGTATTTTTATTACTTATTAGTCATTTTTATAATTTATTTCTTATGAATTTTATGTATCTTAAATCTGGCCCAAAACTAGGCCAATTTTCGGACCAAGTTACTAGCCCAAATCTCCCAAGACCCCTGGCACAATTTTCCCTAGCCCAAACCAAATGACCCCTTTAATTTTTAACCCGGTCGGGACCCGTTGTCCTGCTCGCCCCGCTTCTCGTCTAATCCTGGCCGTTGATCTCAAATGATCAACGGTCCACAACCTCTCCCTAACTTTTAATTACTCAATCCCTGAAACCCTAACCCATTTCCCTCTGCCAACCGCCCCTAAATTCTCTCAACTCCCCCTTCTCTTTTGAGAAACCCTAGCAGCCGCCTCTTAATTTCTCGCTGATTCCGACTTAAAAATGAAATCAATCCATGATCTCCTTACCTTGTTGGCATTCTCTCACTACTGGTTGTCCATTTATGGTATTACTTAGGTACTTTCCTAGCTTTGGCAAGTACTACCTCCAAGAACAGGTTGTGGTGACCCGAGTCTTTGGGATTTGGACAATACTCAAGCCATATACGTTCAACAAAGGATGATTTGCACCTTTGGTTCGATTTTCAGACGTTTGGACCCAAGTAGGGTTTGAGATTTTCCATCTCCTTTACCAATTTTAATTGCATGAGATATTTTCTTTCCTTCTTTATGTCTAATTGACTATTTTCTACTTCTTTATGTCTAATTGACTATTTTCTATGTTTGTTTGTTCAAATCGATTACTATATAAACCCCTCCCTCAATTCCCCTAAAACGGACTTTTGAATCTATCACTCCCTCACTTACTTACTCATTTTTTTCTGAAACTCTTGGCTCTTGGCCGGCTGAAAGCCAAGGCCACCGAAATTCGTTTTAATTGACTTTCCAGTGCGAGCACTGCTCGGGGTTCATCTGAAACCCTTATGAACTCTGATGCACTGGGTACTGGGGTTCTACTGCTCTCTTTGCTATTGACGATTGGAGTACTGCTGTAATTGTTCTTCTTATTTGCTTGTTTGTTAATTTGTAACTGGTAAGTCTATTTGGCCTTAGCACTTTCATTCTCCTTCATTTGTATTTATGCTTTGTGTAATCCTGCAACTGAAACTTCTATGAATCAATATCCTACTATGCCATCTTGTTTGTAGCCTTACTTGCTCTGAAGTATCCTTGGGACTCAATACTTTTAGCATTTAAACTTGCCTAAATTCTAATCATGGTGTATGTCTATCACATGTGTTTAGCATAAATGATGATGGCTCTCTTAAACCTATTTAGCCTAATGTGCCTATGCTGATATTTGATGTTTGTCTTGAGTTTGTCTCTCTCTGCTTTGTTCTGGATCATTATGATAACCAACTCATGCCCAGAATTGTAATGACCCAAGTCATTTTGACTTTTAGAACCATGTTTCCCTAAATAAAACTCCCCATATATGCTTTTATAAATTTATGACTTGCGGGGATGGTTGGTTCGGGATTTGAAAGTGTTCGGGTTGAAATCAGAACACTTGATTCCTTAAGTTGGCCTTAAATGCTAAGTTTGACTTCGGTCGACATTTGGAGAAAACGACCCCGGAATAGAATTTTGATGATTTCAACAGCTTCGTATGGTAATTTTGGACTTAGGAGCGTGGTCGGAATTTTATTTGGAAGTCCGTAGTTAAACTAAGCTTGAAATGGCTAAAATAGGAATTTAAGTTTGGAAGTTTGACCGGGGAGTTGACTTTTTGATATCGGGGTTGGAATCCAGTTCCAAAAATTTTTATAGCTCCGTTATGTCATTTATG